CCGCAGTTGTAGCACGCCGGGTCCCAAGCATCGCCCGTAACACGCAAGGAGCCTGCAACTTGCACAGGCGGCTCGTGGGAAAGATCCCCACTCGAAGGCCTGAAAGCACCCCAGTGTGTCCTACAGGAAGTCGCATGGAGCAAATGTCGCCGCAGGCGAGCCGAGTTGGCAAAATTCTTGCCACACCCAGAGTATAACGTGCAGCTGTGGTTGCCGGTGAGCATCGGGGCGGTGATCCGGCATCCGTGCTTTTTAGACGCGTGGCACGCCCAAGCCGCCCGGCTAGAAAACCCGCGACGACAGATCAAGCACGCCTCAAGGCAAGCAGCACCAACAGAGGTCTCAGCGATATCTGCTCCACAACTCGCAGACTTGATCACACGATGAAGGGCCTGGAGGGCAGCGAAGCAGTTGATGCGGCAGAGCTCCAGACCCCGAGCTCGCTTGATCAGGCCCTTGAAAGCCGAGGGTCGGCTACAGATGAAGTCACCCCACTCGGAGCACAGCTGGTTATGATCGAGCAGGGTGCAGGTCACTCGGACTCGAGCATAGAGCCAGGCCAAGGCCTCACGCACTACCCCCAGGTAGGGGACGTCCTGGCGAATCAAACCCCATAGAACATCTGGCCCCGTGCAACACAATTGCTTCAAGTACGCAGTTGTTCTACGCGGGGCGTGGTGGCATAATCCGGGAGCTCAAGCAAGGTGCAGACCGCAGCAACCGAAAGATGCTGGTCATCCCCCTTGCCCCGGGCGAAGGTGGGCTCGACACAGTGCAAAAACAGTAGCCGCAAAGGTTCTGGCTTCGCTCCGGCCAAGCACCAGCACCGAAGTGAAGCTTGCTAAGAACAAAGCTCCCAAGGAGCACGCCTCGACCTGGTACGGCCTTCGCGGAAAGCAGTCCAGGCAGCTGAGCACCGCTGTCGTTTCTCAGATCGCATAACCCCGTCGCGCGCATGCGTAACACCTAGGTCCTAGGTGTTTGTAAGTGTCAGTCAGCGGCAGGCACGCTGGGCCATGGTTTTCTTTCAGAACGCAGAGGGAGGCCTTGCCAGGAAACTAGTTTCTGCGAACACTGCGAGCTCCTGGCCCCGGAGCGAGATCAATGCCGCAGTCTTGCGAGGACCGAAGGCAAGTTCAAAGCCGTGACCGGTGAAAGAGTCAGAGAGGGCCCCGGCTTCCGCAGAGACCACGACAGCGGCTTCTTCGACCCGGTCAACGTTGAGAAAGGCTGAGAGAGGTCATCAGCCCAAATCTCGACACTACGTGTGGATAGCAGCTTCCTGCATCCCGGGCTGTCGACGTGCTCTGCTCACGTGCCACCTTTCGGGAGTCTGATCCCGCGACCGCGGCCGTGCTGGATTCGCTGGCATGCTTTTCTGACGGCCAGGCCCACCTCTCCATAACTGTCGCTGGCACCTTCGCACTTCCGAGTGGTGCGCCTCCGGCTTCTCCTGCCGCTCAATGCCGTGTGCTGCCGATGCAGACCTCCATGTTGCCCCCTCCCAACAGGCAGCTACTGTAACGGCTTTGCAGCTGTGGCGAGGAGTCCAGGTTGCAGTGGACGCCACTGTCGTGTCGTGTTTGGCGAGCCCCGGCGTATGCGCGGAAACTGCTACTTTTCCGACTTTTCGCCGGCTGCCGCACCTGGTCTGCACACGCACCCCTACCACTGCAGAGTGCCTACCTGTTCCGGCAGGTCGCATTTGCTGCTGCCCGTGCCTTCGCGACCTCCCTACCGCTACGCAGGCGGCCCTCAAGCATGCCATCGAGGGGTGGCTACGGGGCTCGTCCCGCTGGTGCGTGATGTGCGATGGGAACTTTCGCGCCCTTAAACCTTTGAGCCGAGCCAAAGACCAGGCCGCCGGCATCACAGCACAACGCGCAGCCTCGGGGGTGTGGCGCCGTGAAGTCGAGCCCCTGCGATCGTCGTACCGGCCCCTTGCCATTCTTAAGCTCTCCGCGTGGTGGAGCTCGGAGAAGGACCCCCCAGTTCATGCGGTCCTTGTGCAGCCCGAATCCAGGGTCAGGCTGTGGAGGCTGGCGAGCGAAGGGGGCGGGGCAGATGAGTCGGCTAGGAGATCGCCGAGGGATCTCCATCGACGTTCGCTGCACCGAGAAACATTCCCTCACAGGATGCGCTCGGTCACAGCTGCCCTGCGACACAGCCGAATTTTCGAATGCGGCCACTTCCGCAAGCAGAAAATCCGCTCTCGCAGGAGGGCCGCGGGGTCCCACGCCGTGGCGAGGGCATGGCCGCGGGGTGCCAAACCCGCAGCCGTCTCTTCGGATGAGGTCTTGGAAGTGTAGAATCCGTATCCTGTCGAGGCCAGGTTTTCGCACTTACAAGTAGCACGAATCGAACGTGCTCGATCCAAGCAACGCCGCATTTGCTGTCTCTGTTACTTGTACACTGTTACTTATACACTCAAAGCGGCATGATGCCGCGTGAATGTTTCGCAACCGGCCCATTCTGCTCACGAACGCAGTTTCGGCACGCCGGCTCGACCACTCTGTCCACCACCTCCCGAGGCATGCACGGGATTTAGCGGGCCGAGAGAAGCCACAGAATCTGCTGAAAGCCACAACCGACCCCAGACCTGTGATTGCGCGTCGTCATTTGTGCTGCGGCAAGAGGCGGCACGCATGCCAGAAGGAAGAAGATGACAAAAGACAAGATTGTTCATTCCATGGGACCAGTGTGCAGCCGCGCGGCTCAGTGCAGTGCGTAGTTGATCCAGTTCGAGATTTGGAAAATTACACATGGCCTCATGACCTGGCTGACGAAGCTTCCAGCTTTCCCGATGCAGTATGGCATCCGGTCGACTGCGGGATGAAAGCGGTCGCGGGAGCCTGTGCCAGAAGTGCTTGTCGACTGCACGTTGGATTTAAATGGCAGTGGGTCGGCCGCTTTCGAACATTTGGCACACAACGTGTGGCTTGGCCATTGGCTGGCTGCCAGGAGTTTGTTTGTCATGTTGGTAAGGTTTGTCAGAATGTAGCAGGGAATACGAGGGCTAGATGTCGAAAATCGTCAAGGTTAACTTTGGAAGCTCGGATGACATCGCCGCGTTTGCCGCAATGGAACCACATCCCAGGTACCGCAGCCAGGTTGAAGTTGTTTTGTTAATAGGTGGTGCCGATTCTTGTAAGTTTATGCTGGTATATGCTGGTTATGTCAGGAGCGTCGAATATTTGACTACAACACTGGACCCGCGGCAAATCGCAGAGTTTCTTCGCCTCGAGATGCCTATTCGGTACGCTGAGCGCATACGTGCTTTGGAGCAGGTGCAGCGGTTAAAGTATCGGTTCAACTTAAGCATGGGAAGCAGCAAAAATTGAGAGTTTGCCGGAAGGTGCCTCGGTGGCAAACGATACCGGATCTGGTCGACGTGCATGATATTCACGTGGAGTCCTTCAAGTCGTTTCGCGTATGTGAAGCAGACGATTTTTCCGAAGTCACACACCAGGCCGGAAGGGCAATTGTGCAGCTGTGCCCGTTCTTGCGACGTCATCACTTAAGTGGTCGCGCTGTTCGAAGTGAGATCGCAGAGCAGATGCCCACATTCAATTGGCAGGCGTTGCTCAGGGAGCAAACTATTGTGGAGAAACTTGCGAAGTCAGTGCACCATCTCCGTGACGATGCCGGTGCTGGCGTGACCGATGATTCTGTGTGCCACAGTCTGCAACACATGTTGGCCCTTACAGCAGAGTTTGCTTGTATTGCCAGAGCTGTCCATTAAGATGCTCTAAGGTCTAAGTTCTTGGACGATTTCCTGTTAAACCGCATCGGATGCCAAGTTTTGCTGGGACACTACTTGGCTTGTCGTGCAGGTCAGCAGATGCAACGACAGCAGTTATGATAAATTCAAGAGTCCGATCAAACGCAAACATCACCCACATTCATGTTCAAACTTAATGCCACAGCGTTTATTTGGCTTTGTTCCAGACTCAGTAGAAAGGAATGGTATCATCGACCCTCGGTGTGATACCAGACGAGTGTGCCGTACAGCTGCGGAGGCAGGCTACTGACGAGCATTACACTTTCATTTCTGTCCTCTAGCAACCATTGGCATGGTCATGCATGGTCATGTCGGTATGTTTTCATGTCCCAAGGCTGTGCTGGATATGTGCTGGGAGTGCACGGGGAGAAGACCTTCGGTCTTTGTCAACGCGCATTCGGCTTGTGGCGGCAAGGGCGCGGATGATGGTCAAGTTGCGCGCTTCCCTTACATGCCACATGTATTGAAGTACATTGTCAGCGAGCTGCTCAAGAACAGTTGTCGTGCAACGACGGACATGCTGAGTGCTCATGATTTAGAAGCGGCTGACTTTCCCATCAACGTGATTATTTGCGCGGACGAAGACCACGTGACAATATGCGCGGCTGATCAAGCGGGTGGTATTCCACGTGAAGCGAACCCGTGGTCATACTTGTACACTACAGCAGAGGATGGCGCCTATGGTGGCACAAAGAAGCTTGCTGGTCATGGAGTAGGCACTGGGGCCGCACACGGAGTTTTCACCTTTTCAGTCTGCTTTCATATGATCCCAGCACAGAGATAATGCGCGGCAGCCCTTGACAATGGTTTTGCAGGTCTCCCCTTGTCGCGATTGTACGCAAGATACCTCCATGGCTCGCTTGACTTGGTGTCCTTGCCTGGATACGGGACGCACGCGTACGTCAACCTGCCTAGAGTTGAATCCCAGCAAGTAGAAGTGGTGCCAGTCCCTTGGAGAAACAAGATGCCAATCAAGATGCTTGCTTGGATGGGTTTACGGTTTGGGGTTCAGCAGTCAGGATGCGGACTACGAGTACGACTATGCGAATCTGCTGGACTTTACTGTGTGACCGACATGCGCCCGAAAAATCAGCACGTGTGTGCAATTCACGCCCAGTTTTGTTCTACACAGCTTCAGCTGGCCTTCATCGGTACTTGAGTACTTCCATGACATACCCGCGCGCTTGACACTGCCGACGTGCTTAAGCGCTTGGCCCACATGCCTTCTGCAGCCTCAAGTTGCGGCCCGCGAAGTTTTTGGTCTTCCGGTTGCAATGTCCTGCAGTTTCGAATGCCCGTCCATCCACTGCTGATTGCCCATGCCTCTGCACTAGCAGTAGCGGGTGGACCTGCGCACAGACCTTTCTGCCCACCATACAAATTCAGCGTGACCTGCCTGCAATGTGGAGCGACTCTTTGGCGTCCTTGATTTTGGCATGAACCGTTCGATGGCAGGGACGGGATGGGACTGAAGTTTGTTGGACATGTCCGCCAAGCCTAGGATGAGACGTTGGATATACCCATCCAGTCATCGCACGATTCGAGTCACTGCTCCCTCGAAGCATCGCGCAAACGTTACGGAACTCTCCTGCAGGACTCTCCGAAGGGGCCGAAAGCTTGAAGGAATTGTGTGAAAGTACCGAACGGACCTCGCTTTTCTTTTTCCAAAACTGTTCGAACAGCTCCAGGAGAGTCACGCGGCTGCAAGGGTGGCCAGGTATTGTCATCGGTCATACAGACATGTTTTCGAGAGCATTCTGATCACCTCTAGGAGACGGCCTATCAAAGCAAGACGATGTGGCGGGCAGCTACGCGATACTATGCACCCGAGCGGTGGGAGGCTTGGGGCACACTCTACGAGACAATGTCCCACTTGGAAGCTAAGCTGCATCAGGCACGTCAGAGGGAGGGTTCTGTCGAGCGGTGATGGCGATGTGCGGGAACAGGCCTGGCCAAAAGACGTTGAGATGAGGATCTCTGCATACCTGCTACTGTAGTGATGCTAGTGCGATCGATCATTGACAGCCGCCCAAAAACCCAACCCGGTGCAACTTACTCGCGGAAGGCTGAATCAGACCAAGGAATGCTTTGCAGCCTTCAGGTCTTGCTTTCCTGGTGGCATCCAAGAGGAAGCCCTGACAGTGGTACCAGTGTGCTGGGCCTTTCAGGAGGCCTCGACATGACCTCAAATCGATTGCTCCAGACTGCGATCTAGTCTCGTACTTCAGTGCCGCAGGAGGTCAAGAAGGTGTTTCGATTGGATGTTCCTTGCTTGACTGTGCACGACTGGTGATGGGCCGCTGGACATGCTGGACCTTGCCTGTGCATTGCTGCGGTTAACTGAGGCACACATGACGCAGGCGGCGGCACAGCTTGGAATGCGGATCCTTTCAACCGAAGATGACCTTCGTCGACTGCGACACCCTTGCCCTGCATCTGCAATTTGGGGGGAGCTGGTTCAGTAGCAACATTTTAATTGGGCTCAGTGAGGCTACGAAACTGCGCAAGTGACCACTTTCGAGTCGCACGACATTTTGCGACGTCAGGCGGCCGGCTGCATGGGGTAAATCGGATAATGTTCTTTCTACTCCAACATGGTCGTGGTTCACCGTGAATCTCGTTCGCCCTGGGCAGGCCATCTATCCAGCGTCAAACTTGTTCGGCGACCATGCTGGTGGCGCTGCAGCCGGCTTGGTGCCGTTCTGGATTCCCCGGCGTGATTCTCAGTTTATGGAGTTGAACGATGGAGCCCCAAGATGCACTGGCGAAATCCTCACAAGGTGGACAGCTCCAGTTTCTCACACCTTCGATGTGTGCAACCGCACAGACCTGTTGAAGTGGCATCTCGGCTGCATCGTACTTCGCCATGTTGTGGTTCAAGGTCTCGCATGCCCCGACGTCTTAATCCTGGCGCCTTCCACGTATGAGCTGGAGCGTGCGGAATGATAAGACGAGCCTATCTGCGCCCATAGCGAATGCCGGCACTGTGCAATGCAAAGTGTGAGCCATGTTATCCTTAAGTCTGTCTTCGTCAGCATCGCTAGCGGAATATTCTTGCTGACGTACCATGGCTCTCGAGAATCGAGGTATGATTCCTTTGAGAGGCCGCGGCTTCCCAGCCAGTTGCCAGCCGAAGCCTGGCAAATCTATGGCTATGGTCTCGGAGAGGTTTCATCGCATCACTGAGCTGAGGAATGGCAGCGCTGGGTCGTGAACCTGGGCGCTGGAGATGGCTCTTGTGGCCAGGACGTCGTTCGACAGGATAATCTCGCACGGGGACTCTTCGGCATGTCGGACCCGACGAACTGCTTGCTTCGAGAAGGTGGCTTCAGCTGAAACTGTCAAAAGCCCCGTTAGTTGATTGCTTTGTCGCCTACCCGTCGCGGCCCAAAGCCGCAACGTCAAACACTGGCTTTGTGGGACCTGACAAGCTGCCTGTTGGTGCTGTGGGGCGGCCTGATATGCCAACTAACCAAGGATTTGGAGGTTTGGTGTTCGAGGGTGACGACAGGCGCCTCCATGACCTCCAGAGCCTCGTGGAAAATCGCACAGATGCCAGGCTCAAGCATACGCCTGGATTTTACAGGCTACCATTGCCCAGTACGGAAAAGATTAAATCCGAGAGACGTGCATTGACGCGTGTTCGTCTACGATCTGAGGATGTGGAGCTTCATTTTGGTTTCGTGGATCCTGGTATTGCAACGAAGCGCATCCTGGAGTATCAAGCGCACCATGGCCCATCATCTCCACAGTGGCTCAAGGCCGGCGACTGTGTGAAGTGTGGCCAGGGCTAAGCAACGACTGCCTTCACAAGGTTGACGTGGACAACTGCGACTGCTGCTTTGTGGAAGATGTTCTGAAAGCGGGAATCCGACCTCTTCTCATTCATGTGGAAGTGCACCCGCTGGTTCCTCCACCCTTCGTGTACAGGCCCTGTTAAAGTTGTTAAGCGGGCTTCGCATCCTTCTCCAAGCCGGAGGCCGGTCTTTTTCGATCCCAGCATTGGGGACTCGATGCTCTCGCTGAGTGCTTTGGCAGGTATGACATGTAGCAGCTGCTACCCTCTTTTGAATCCTTCACCATGTGCTGCAGCAAGTCTGGCAGTCTCAGGTGTCCTGGAGGGGCGTCCTGGACACATGCTTCACTGTTCACTTTCTGCCTTCGAAGAGTTACTTGATGATTATGGGTATCATCTCGCAGCTTTGCTTCAACAGACCTTGAATCTTTCGCTCAGCCTGTCTCAGATGCCACTTTAACAGACACACAGACACACAGACAGACACACAGACACACAGATCACACAGACAGACGCACGGACCACACAGACACAGACAGACACAGACAGACACACAGACACAGACACACAGACGCACAGACGCACAGACGCACAGACCACACAGACAGACCACGCAGACGGACAGACAGACAGACACGCAAACACAGACACACAAACACAGACACACAGACGCACAGACGCATAGACCACACAGACAGACACACAGACAGACACACAGACACACACAGACAGACGCACAGACACAGACAGACGCAGACCGACACAGACAGACACAGACAGACACACAGGCGCACAGACCACGCAGATGCACGGACCACACAGACACAGATAGACACAGACAGACACACAGACGCAGACACACAGACGCACAGACGCACAGACCACACAGACAGACCACGCAGACAGACACACAGACAAACAGACACAGACAGACACACAAGCACAGAGACACAGACGCACAGACGCACAGACCACACAGACAGACCACACAGACACAGACAGACGCAGACCGACACAGACAGACACAGACAGACACAGACAGACACAGACAGACACAGACAGATACAGACAGACACAGACAGACGCACAGACAGACGCACGGACAGACGCACAGACACAGACAGACACAGACACACACACACACAGACACAGACACAGACACAGACACACACACACACAGACACACACACACAGACACACACAGACACACACAGACACACACACACACACACACAGACACACACAGACACACACAGACACAGAGACAGACACAGAGACAGACACAGAGACAGACACAGAGACAGGACACCGAGACATACATAGAGACAGACACAGAGACATACACAGAGACAGACCAGAGACATACACAGAGACAGACACAGAGGCAGACACAGAGGCAGACACAGACACACAGACCCACAGATGTACAGACGCACAGAGACACAGACACACAGGCACACAGACACACAGACACACACAGACACACACAGACACACACAGACACACACAGACAGACACAGAGGCAGACACAGAGACAGACACACAGACAGACACACAGACAGACACACAGACACACAGACAGACCACACAGACAGACACACAGACAGACACACAGACACACAGACACACAGACAGACCACACAGACAGACACACAGACAGACGCACAGACCACACAGACACAAACACAGACACAGACACAGACAGACACAGACACACAGACAAAGACAAAGACACAGACACACAGACTTCCAGGTCGCAGGCTCACATCAGACCAAGCAAGAACAGCGATAGATGCCGATGCTGCTTGGAAAATAGCGCCAATCCATGCTGTAGGAAGGTGAGAGTGTGTCAACTCTCTCGAAAACTCTGCTGTACGAGAGCGATGCCTGACCCGGGCCTTTATCTGCTTCTGGAAAGTCGTCGATGGCGTTTAGATACATCACCCGTCAGACAAAGCTGCTGCCAAGGCTGACGTCGGCGTCCACTAGAAACGCACGTCGAATGAAACTCGTAGCTTCCTTTGAAGAGCCCTCATACAAGTGAAAATTGAATACCGGCACCATGGCTGGAAATGATTGAGAACGAAGTCTGCAAGTATGATGATACTGAACAAATATGACAGACCATGCAAGAATGACAGAGAATGAACACACATGTTGTTTCTGCAGGTTTGTAAGCTGCTAGTGGAATGAAGCTGGCGCCAAGACTCTCGGTCAAGCTGCTTTGGGGTGTCTTCAGATAGCAGCAAGTCGTCTGTCACTCGGCTGGTGTGTTCAAGTATTCCACATGCAGCAGGTCGTCAACAGGGCTTCTTTCGCGTGTATTCAAATAGCAGCACAACGCCTCAGCCTAAAATGTACACACTAGCCGCAATAGAGCTACACGACGTCAACGGCGACGACGAAGACGACGATACCTACGGTACAATAGGGATGTGGAAAATCAAGCTAATTTCGTGCTGGCGCATGTCGAGCGGCCTGATCTCGACTCGCAGTCGCGACACTACTGCCGGGAACACACACACACACACATGCCCAGTCGAAGCTGGTTGTTCGTCGTCAGAAGTCTGCTTAGGTATGTTCAGAAGAACTCGTCTTGGAATCCAGGATCTTCCAGGTGCATTGAGAACGAAGCTCCTTGTGGGTTTATTCAACGGTGCTTGATTGGATCTCCTGGTTGTATTCAGAATCGACATTAATATCTATGCTCACAGGTTTAGCAAGCTGCAGATATACAGGTCTTGCGCAAACACATAGCAGCAGAACTCCAGGACTTGCTTTGTTACTCTTCCACTACTCTGCCCTCTAGAGCCCCCTGCATCTTGGAAGCTGAGTCAACTGTCAATGGCTTCCAGGCAAGCCCACAGCTAACATCAGTGACAACCCAAGCCCAATAGACTACCCCATCCTTAAAAACAGGAGGTACACACACACACAGACACAGGCTGACGGACGGAGAGACACACCCGCACGCACAGACGCGCGCACACACACACACACACACACCTCCACACACACACACGCACACACACACACACAAACCTCCACACACACACACACACACACAGACACACACACACACACAGACACACACACACACACACACACACACACACACACACACACACACACACACACACACACACCCACACCCACGCACACACACACACACACCCACACACACACACCGACACACCCACACCCACGCACACACACACACACAGACCCACACACGCACAGACACACACCGACACACACACACACACACACACACACACACACACACACACACACACACACACACACACAGACACACACACAGAGACACACACACACAGACACACACACAGACACACACACACACACACACAGACACACACACACACAGAGACACACACAGACGCAGACACACACAGACACACACAGACAAACACAGCACCACCACTACCACGAGGACAAACACAAAGCAGGGGACACACAACACACACAGGAACACACACCAACATAGACACACCACACACAGAGAGACACACACACACACAGAGGACACACGCACACGAGACAAACACACACACAGAGACACACACACAGAGACACACACAGAGACAAACACAGAGGACAAACAACACGAGGAACACAAGAGGACACACACAGAGACACACCACAGAGGGACAAAACATAGAGGGACACACACAGAGACACACACACACCACACCACACACACACACACACACACACACACACACACACACACACACACACACACACACACACACACACACACACACACACGCAACACACGCAACACAGAACAGACACACAACAGACACACAACAAACACACAGACACACAGACACACACAGCTGGATTCGGCCAAGAGAGCAAGAAGAGGGGAGTATGTTGTATGTTCAGATGTGGCAATTGAAAATCTAATCTTGGCACAGGGGCCTTCTAATCTGGCTGGCACAGGGGCCCCAGCTCAATTTTATGCAGGTACGCCAGACTGATCAGGTCTGGTATCCACCATTACGCATAGCTTCGTTGGCATGCGTTTGCGTAATGGCCGCATGCCCCCTGCAATCGTGTAGGAGTGACCCTCTGCTCCCATGTGCTAGGGAGGTTCACACACACAGCCCCACCTTGGGGCGACTGTGTGCAGTGGAATAAAACCGCGCCAGGGCTCCAAGACCTAAAACGAACCCCAAACTAAACCACAAGACCCTGTGGGCTGCAATGCCCGTTTGCAAAGCTTGTTGATGTGGTCCAGAATGAAGCAATGTTGCGGTAGTCCAAGCTGTGGTGAGGCGTTAAAGTTAGGGTTCAGGACTGTCCTTCAGCTGGGCACGCAAGCCCCCAGAAGCGACAGAGGGGAAGGACGGCTGCTCAGCTGCCCTTGCGAGGGCCCAGATCCAGCCAGGGACTGTTCCTCAGCTGGGCGCGACGGCCCCCAAAGGCAACAGTAACAAGGGTTAACAGAGAAGACTGCTACCCAGCTACCCTCGAAGGGGTCCAGGGCTAGCAGCTTCTAACCAATGTATTGCACATGTGGTTGTATGTTGTAATTGGGGTGGTGAGATTAGGGTGAGGACACTCCTTCCAGCTGCCATCAAAGACCCAGGAACGGAGTGACTACAGCCCAGCTACCCGAGCAGGGTCCAAGGCCAGTAGCAGGAATAGGGAACTCCACCCTCCAGCTGTGTAGCAAAAGACACCCAGGAGCGGCGGACCATCCTCCAGCTGTGCAGAAAAGCACCCAGGAGCAATGGAATGAGAGGTACCACGTCCTGCGTGGTCCTCAACTTAGGGTGTGGGGTTAGGGGGAGAGAAAAGCGAGAGGCCGAGTACTCTCCGAAGAGAGCGCTGTTTCACTTGCTGTAGACATTGTTACCGCATCTGCCCTCATGTCAGGTGCACATGCCCTTGCAGTCCCTGAGGAATAAAGAAGCGGTAGAATAGAGGGCAGACTAGCGAGGTAGCACCTGCTCACTAGACGCACTTTACTGCATTAGCCGTTCCTTACTGCACCTGCACTCATGTCAGACTCACATGCGAGCATCAGAGAGAGAGAGAAAAAGTAGCATCGGGAGATTCTGAACGATCTGAACGAAGGCTGAACACCCGGTTCATCACCGGTCTCCCCGGAGGGTCACCACGGCGCCATGACGGAAAGCCGTTGCTCTGGAGTCTCAACGACCCACGCTGATCACACAGCTGGATTCGGCCAAGAGAGCAAGAAGAGGGGAGTATGTTGTATGTTCAGATGTGGCAATTGAAAATCTAATCTTGGCACAGGGGCCTTCTAATCTGGCTGGCACAGGGGCACCAGCTCAATTTTATGCAGGTACGCCAGACTGATCAGGTCTGGTATCCACCATTACGCATAGCTTCGTTGGCATGCGTTTGCGTAATAAGGCCCCCGCATGCCACCCTGCAATTGTGTAGGGAGTTGACTCCTCTGCTCCCATGTGCTAGGGAGGGTTCACACACACACCCACACACACACACCCACACACACACACCCACACACACACACACACACCCATGTCACACACACGCAACACACAAACACACACACACACCACACACAACACCACACACACCACACACAACACACACAACACACACAACACACACAACACACACAACACACACAACACACACAACACACACAACACACACAACACACACCACACACACAACACACACACAACACACAACACAACACACACACAACACACACAACACACACACAACACACACACAACACACACAACACACACAACACACACAACACACACAACACACACACACACACACACACACACCACACACACACACACACACACAATCCACACAAGCAGGACGCACATTCACACATGTTTGCGCAAGGGCCGTGCTCATTTTTTGCGAGTGCAAAGCTTCAAAAACCAATCAAACTCTGACATGAGCATGAGCTTGTACCTTGTGAGTGCGTGCCGAGCTAGTACCTTGTACCTTGTGCGTGTGTGCGAGCTAGTTCAAGCCCGCTGTTGGTTCTGTGGGACACTAGCACAGGGATTCCGCGCAAACGCACGGCCGCTTTGAAACAGCCGCTGCACTGCACAAGTGACAAGGGTGGCACGCACGAAGCTCGAGATAAGCATGGCCACTGCGCAAGGGTGACACGCACAAACCACGAGATAAGCATGGCCACTGCGCAAGGGTGACACGCACAAACCACGTTCATGCCTCTGTCTCAACAGCAGTTGGAAGCTTGACAGTCTGATAATGTCACTTTAGACCAGGGCCGCACAATCACGTCTGCTGCTTCCACTTTTGGCAAAGGCAAAATGCGGCCCTTAGGAAGCGGAACGGCTTTTTGGAGGCAAAACCTCAGGCATTAGCTGCCAAAACAAGGAGCTTCCGCAGTTTAAGCCTCCGACGGCAGGGTGCAAAATCACGTCTGCTGCTTCCACGTGTCACAAGGGCAAAACGCGGCCCTTAGGAAGCGGAGCGGCTTTTTGGAGGCAAAACCTGGCATTAGCTGCCAAAAGAAGGGGCCTCCGCAGTTTAAGCCTCCAACGGCAGGGTGCAAAATCACGTCTGCTGCTTTCACTTCACATCTAGGGCGGCATCATCACGTCTGCTGCTTCACTTTAGAGCCAGGGCGGCATGATCACGTCTGCTGCTTTCACTGTCGGGCAATGGCAGCCACATCACGTGTGCTACTGTCCGGTGCGTGGGCTTCTGAGCAAGTTCTACTGGCTTTCAACCCTGCCATTTCGCGCCGCGATTACATTTCATAGCAGCGGTCGCCTACCCAGATGATCTTCACATTGGCATTGAGCCACTTGCGAGGCACCCATTCAGCAACGCACAAAACTGCGCAAGAGTGACACGCACAAACCAAGAGATAAGCATGGCCACTGCGCAAGGGTGACACGCACAAACCACGTCTCAAGCCTGAGCACCTGCCCTCTCAGAGACTGCCAAGACATAGGCACGCTGAAACCCGCACTTGCTTCACAAACAGGAGCGGTCCTGGGGGACGTGGCCTGGTACCCGTGCAGTACCACCGTTGGTGTGAAGTCTTGGCGTCATGGTTGGCGCTCATAGACGACAACTACGTCAACGAGTTGCGCCAAGCAATGGTGCACAACAGGGAGATCAAGCAGTCAGAGATGTCTGCTCCTGTGGCTTCGAGGTCTGCTCGGTTGTTTTACTACCTTCAACAGAGTTTGCAGAAGTTTGAGAGAGGCATGGAGCTTGTGAGAAGCACGTCCATGCGGCAAGCTCAAGCTGCTTGTGGGTACGAAGTCATGCGGCAAATGCATGCGACTTTCAGCATTGTCTCAAGAATGGAGGCAATTGCAGTGAGAGATGAGGCCCTGAAGTTGCCTGCCAGAGCCCGAACCTACAAGAGGCCACTTGATGTGGTCCGGTTCTTGGAGGATGAGCTGGGCAAAGTGGATCAGAAGCTCCATCGTTTTCCGGAGCTGAAGCCCGGCGGCTCGGATCGCCTAACCATTTTGCTTCAATCTGTCAACCCTGAGTGCCGGCATTACGTTGTTTTGCACGGCAAGTCTGGAACTTTGGAAGAGCTTGTGACGAGCATCCGGTTCTTTGAGGAACAGACCAGGCTTTGCGACGCTGGAGCCCTTCACGCTGTTGGTGACAAGGGTTTGTGTTGGAACTGCGGCAAGGCTGGTCACTACAGTTGGCAGTGTCCTGAACCACCGAAGGGTGGCAAAGGAAAAGGCAAAGACAAAGACAAAGGCAAGGGTGGAAAGCCCTCTGGTGGTGGCGGTCGAGGAGGCGAGCCCAAAGGAAAGGGCAAAGGCGACAAGAAGGGCGAGAAGGGCAAGGACAAAGGAAAGTGGGGAAAGCCAAAGGCGAAGCCGAAAGCGAAGTCCAAGGGACGCGCTGTTGAAGACGAGCCGTCTGAGCAAGTGATGGCCTTGAGATTTCATCGTCTCAGGGGCATGCGCCCAGGGAAAGCAGTGAAGAATGAGCCCAATGATGCTGAGCCCCCACGTCTCACCATGACGGATAAGGAAGTAGAGAAGCTGAACCAGTCCTCTTCGAGGAACAGTCACTTTGCGTGGCTTGTTGATAGTGGAGCCACGTGCCACGTGTTGTCTGTTGCTTCTTTGTCGTTTTACGAAGTCGTGAAGGAGCATTCGGGACCGCTGCCTGTCTTGATGAGTGCTAGCGACACCGAGATGGAATGCCTCGGGTTGGTCGATATCCGTGTGAAGTTTGGGAGGCTAGGGCCTGTAGTGCTTCAGAAGGTCCTGGTTTGTCAGATTGGTTTCAATGTGATCAGTTCTTGGCAGGCGTCGCTTTCGGGTTGGTGTTCTTGGTTCACTGCCACACCCGGAGAGAGTTGCTTGATGAAGCAGAATGGGAAGGGTTCCTGGGTTTGGGTTCCCTTAGAGACGGAAGCCAGGAGCTGGTGGGCAATGGCCCAGGAGATCGGCCCCGCGAGAGCTAAGGCGAAAGCGAAGTCCAAAGCAGGAGTGCCCAAAGGTACCCCACCGAAGTTTGGGAAAGAAGACGACGACACGGGAGATGCAATGGAAGTGGACCGCGCCAAGGAGAAGGCGCATCCGAACAAGCATCCGCAGAGAGCTTTGGAAGTGACTCCTTTCAAGTTCTTGTTGCGAGCCTTTTGCAGTGAGTTTTCGTGCGAGTGTGTTTCTGCAGCAGAAGTAGCAGCTGAGACTGAGGTAGTGCCTGCAGTTTGTTCTGAAGAGCTGTGTGCGGGTTGTGTGGTAGGTTCTGAAGTCTGTGTTTCGTCCGCAGCCGTTTCGCTTAAGCAAGCAAGCACCACACACACCGAAGCATGCCGTAGGAGCGGTAGGAGTGCGAGTGCATGTGTGAGTGTAGAGCCTTTGCCGCCAACGCCTCAGAGTACTGTGAGAGCCTGTGGTTCGGAAGCTGCTTCAGTGGAGGTTTGCGCAGGGTTTTCGGAGACTGCCTGTAGGAGTGAGTGTGCAGGGTTTTCGGAAGCTGCCTGTCGTCCGGAGTGTGCAAGTGCAGGTGCATTAGGGACACGTAAAAGCAAGCAGAAACGTATCTCTTCTGCCGCGGTTCTGTCTCGAGCCTTGCGGTGGGTGATTTTTCTCTATGGAGTCATCTCCGTTACGACGGGGACTGTGTGTCAAGAAGAGAACCCTTTTGGTCCAGATGCCGTCGGAAGGGGTCGCTCAGGAGAAGGAGCCGGCCCAGATGATGGTTATGTCCGAGAGATGGCAAGATCTCAGAGCGATGCAGACAGCGGCATCCAGCAGGCGACAGCAGTTGGTGCAGAAGCTGCAGCTGAGTCGCAGCGTGGAGCAGAGGCGAGAGGCCGAAGAACTAGTGGCAATGAACAGATGCGATTCGAAGGAATTGCTCCACCGGGGATTTCACTCCCTAACTTCTCCGGCCTTGCCTTCTGGAGAACCTCCCGCTCCCACTCAGGAGGGCAACGAGGCCGACGATTGGGGAAAATGGAAGGCGGTGCCAGGCCCTCCTTCGAGCCCGCCTCCACCGGGGACGCCTGTGGTGCCGCCTGGACCCCCGGATACGCCGCCCGAGACACCACCGGAGACTCCTCGGGAGAAGAAGAAGAAGGACAAGAAGAAGGAGAAGAAGAAAGGCTCCAAGGAGCGCCGTGCACGAGAAAAGGACCAGGTCGCCGAGGACAAGAAGGACCACAACGAGGGCGAGAGAGACAAGGCCGCCGAAGGAGTGGCTTTGCTGAGGGAGCAAGAGCTCAAGATGGTTGCCGCCAGCAAGAACTTGGCGGAGAAGGAGCGAGCGTCGGCAGCGGCGAAGGCAGCCGCCAATGTGGCTGTCGAGAAGTGGACGCCCCAACAGAGGGCACGCAAGGAGGCAGAGCTCCAAGCAGCCCTGCTTGCTCAGGAGCAAGCCGCTGCTACAGTTCGTTTGCTTACTTTGGAGTTACAACTTGGGGATGCCCTTGGTGCCCCCGAGAGTTCAGCGGCCCCCGAGGGAGCCGTAGAGTCTGGGACTCCTCCGGAGTTACCAGCCAGCAGGCGGATCAGCCTGTCGTCTTCGAGTGTGGAAGCTATCACTCCTCCAGGAACGCCTCCGACAACGCCGGTGTCGCCCGGATCTGCGGTTCCAAAGACACCCCAACGATCACCTTTGGTGAAAGCGATGCCCAAGGTTCCGGAGAGCCCTGCTTCTCAAGCTGCTGTGAGCCTTGTTGCTCCAGCTGCTGCGGGGCCTGTTGCTCAAGCTGCTGCGAGGCCTGCGGTTCGAGTTGCTTTGAGGCCGCCGGTCCGAGCTGTTCAAGTGAAGGCGATGCCCAAGGTGGGGCAGGTGCCGGATGTTGGGCACATGGGACCTCCAGCGCCGCCGATGGTTGGGCCCATGGGCCCTGTACCACAAGCACCACAGGTTGTTGGGAAGATGCACATGTTCCCGCCGGCGCCGCCCTTCTTGGGGTACATGGGACCAGTGCCTCCAGCACCACCGCCAGGATACCGAGGCATTTTCAATCCGTGGTCCACCGGGCCGTTGCGCCAGGTGTTTGGAGCTGTGGGCCAGCATGTGACGCCCATCACTCCGAGTGTGTCGGTTGTGCCTCAAACTCCACCGCCCCGCCCTACAGTGAGACCTTCAGCCAGGCCGTCAAAAGCACCACGGCCAACAGCAAGGGCAACTCTAGCCCCTACGCCAAAGAAGAGAGATCGATCACCTTCGATCTGAGGCGGTGTGTTTCTTCTGAGGTTTTGGCCTCAACCTTAGGTTCGAGGCCCGTCATCCTCAAAGTGAGCTCTTCGGTGTCTTCCCCGAAAAAGGTGCAAGAGTGCGGTGCCAAAGTGGTAGGCAGTCTAGAGTGCAGTGCCGAAGCTGTAGAACGTCTAGAGTGCAGTGCCGAAGCGGTAGGTTGTCGTGAGTGCAGTGCTTTAGGAGAAGGTAACCTCGAGTGTGGTGCGGTAGGTGCGTGTTGCTTGAGTGTTCCCGAAGCTACGCCCTACCCGAATGGATCCACAAAGTGTCTCGCTCTGCCCAGGTGTTCCTTAGAAAGATCGTGTGCCGCAGCCTTGTTCAGGGTTATTTCAAAGGTTGCGGGGTTTCGCTTTTGCGTGCTGCTGGCAGTCTGTGCTGTAGCTGTGGTAGTGCGTCGAAGCGGGGGTCGTAGGAAGCTGCGGTTCGGAAGCCGTAGGAGACACAAGTGGGTGCGAGTAACTTTGAAAGGTCGGAATCCCCGTCGGTGTTTCCCCTGGAGAGTCCAACGGCCGATGATGAGAAGGTTGTTGTGCTTGGTCCGCAAAGTGCTTAAGAAAGTTGCTGCCTTGCGTGGGCAGCACAATGAAGAAGCACCGCGGATTCCTGAGGCCCCACATGTTGTGCGTGAGCATGTTGTGTCCGAGCGTGTTGTGCATAGGGCGCGTATGCTTGCAGGTTTGCCGGTTGAGATCACTGTTGAGTCTGAAGAAGAGTTGTTGCCAGACCCCGAACCGAAGCCTCAACCTCCCGGCCCTCCTGACCCCGAACCTCGTCCCGAGCCGTCTGGTTCAGGTTTGTCTCCTCCTGAAGACCTTGAGGTTCCAGTATACATTACTTCAGAGCGTTTGCGAGCGCACCGGAACAAAGGGCATCAGCCCTATCTGAGTTTCTGTGATGTGTGCCAGTCGGCACGTGGTCGTGTGCCAGCACGACGCAAGAACATGAAGAGCCACTATGCGCCGGGAGAGCTTCAAGTAGATTTTGGCTTCTTCGGTCGAAATGTTCGGTTTCTGTTGATCGTTCACGTCCTGTCGGGATACTTGAGTACTGTTGTTTTGGGTCCTGAGGACCCGGTGCCTGTACCAGCCGTTTGCAAGGCTCTTTCTGAGATGGGCCTCAACGGGCTGGACATTGTGGTCCACGGTGACCAAGAAAACCTCCTGGAGAGTGTGTTCCGGGATTCTGCGAAGCATAGGACGTTTGTAGGACGGTCCATGCATTGGGTTCCGTTTGCAGTGAACAGGCCCCAGGCAAAAGGCATTGTTGAGCGTAACGTTTGCCTCGTGAAAGAAGCGTTTTGGTCTGTTTGGCTAGGACTGGAAGAGCGTGTAGGAGGGCAGCTGCCGTTAGGGAGCTACTTGTTTATTGAAGCCATAACTTGTTTCATGTGTCCAAGGAGCAAAGCACGCCTCTGGAACGCCTCAGGGGCTCTACAGTCCAAGCTGTGAAGAGTTGTGAGTTTGGGGTGGTAGGCTTTGGAAAGCCACAAAAGGACTATCCGGAGCATCGAGGAAAGCGCCTAGTGAGGGCGATTTACGTTGGGCCCCATGGCGCCAACGGCTCTGGGATACGTGTCTTTGTTCCCTTAGGAGATGGGAAGCCGCCTCGTCTGGAGATTTTCAGCTCGTTTCGTGCCCGGGACCCGGTAGAGTTTGACAAAGCAGTGCTAGACCAACTGAAAGGAAACCGGGAGGACCCCGAGCGACCCATCAAGTTTGATGTGCCTCTGGATGCACCTCAGCCTCCTCCTGACCCTCCGGCGTTGCCTGATGGTAGTCTAGAGTTCCCTGTGGGACAAGCAGAAGAGCCTGGAGCTCCTGATGCGATGGAGGATGAGGATCTAGCAGATTATTCCCCCTCTCTTCCTGCTGATGGTGAAGGGATGGATGTCGAACCTCCTCCTGGTGGTGTCCTTGATGAGGATGATGTTGAGATGGGTGATGGTGAAGATAATATCATGGATGATGGCCTGACCTGGCTGTACGAGTATGGTCTTCGCCAGCTCTATGAAGGACCTGACCTTCGTGTGACGCAGAAGCTGAGGAGGGGAGATAATCCCGCTGAGTGGTTCAGTATGAAGTTTGGAGGTAGAAAAATCTGGGTACATGTCCCAGATAACGCGGTTTGTGAGGTTTCAGGGAAGGTTCTCGCGAGGAAACATCTCGAAGAAGGGATGAAGCTTGAGCTGTCGGAGTTAGATGCCTTTGGTGTGGCAACCGTGATTGGAGAAGCTGAGGCCCGGAAGAAGGCCGTGCGAAGAATCCACACCACTCGTTGGGTTCTAACTTCCAAACCCTCTGTGACACACCCTGACCGTGTGAGAGCGCGTTTGGTTGTGCGTGACTATGCGCTTGGATCCAGCCCCTTGGCTGATGGGATCTATTCCCCTACGACCTCCTTGGAAGCTTTGCGAGGTGTCCTTGCTGTACATGCGGTTCGTGGAGGAACGCTGTTGTCTGCCGATGTTTCGGTAGCCTTCATGCAGGCGCCTGTCCAAGGTGTTGAGTGCATCCGTTTTCCGAACGGGATGTATGACGATCATGGCAATCCGCTTTTTGCTCAGTTACACAAAGCCATGAATGGCTTGCGGGTTGGGCCGTTGAGTTGGTACTTGGAGTTCACCAACACGTTGCGTGGACAGTTTGGGTTTGGAGAAACTGCGGACCCTACTGTGCACCACCGTCTCGAGAAGGACGGTTCTCTGACCTTGGTGCTGGTGTATGTTGATGACTTGATCATCTTCTCCCAGAACTCAAAGATTGCAAAGGAGCTGTATGCTCAGTTGGCCAAGATTTACAAAATGAAGCAGACTGGGATCTTGGAGCCTGGAAAGAAAGGGCAACTTGAGTTTCTAGGAAGAATTATCGTCCGTGTGACGGACGCTGGACCTGTGTTGTTCGGCTTGAAACCGGGCTACTTGAAGTCGCTTGGTGAAGAGTTTGGGATCAGCGGAAAAGGTGTGAAGCCTGTTTTGGGAAACCTTGAGAGGGAGTACCGGAAGAAGGAACCTGGAGGTTCAATAAGCACTGAGTCGTACGAAAGGTATCGACGTGTGCTTGGGAAGCTCATGTGGGCCAGTCTCACGCTTCCTCACCTAGCTTATCCTGTTGGGTTTCTAGGTCGTTTTCAGAGTGATCCTGACAGCCAAGCCGAAGCCTGTTTAAGAAGAGTTGTGCGTTGGGTGATGGCGTTGCCTGAGTACCTTCAGCGCTTCTCTGCGTTTGGCTGGGTCGACCAGAGTTTTGAGTCGGAGACCTTGCTTTCGGGGTATGTGGATGCCTCGTGGAACGTGTGTTCAGTGTCTGGTGCCATTGTCCTTTGGCATGGCATGATGATCAAGTGCTTCTCAAGGAAGCAGTCAGTGACTGCCTTAAGCTCAGCTGAAGCAGAGCTGGCCGCGCTTACTGAAGCTGCCAAGGAAGCTGTGTACCTGTCCCTGCTGTTGGAAACGCTCCTTCAAGGCCTGCCTGCCGGTGACACGGGATCGTATCCCATTTACCTGTCGTCTGACAGTGAAGCGGCATTGTCTATTTCGAAGATGAAAGGCCTGCTGCGTCGAGTGCGGCATTTGGAGCTGAGGCATCGGTACTTGCAAGAGCTTGTTCAAAGTGAGAGACTGCGTCTCACATTCATCCAAGGATGCCTGAATCCGAGCGACGGACTCACAAAGAGTCCTGAAGAAGCTATGCTCCAGCATCTGCTGGAGGCGTGTGGACTTGAGCGGATCTGTGAGGAAGACTTGCAGACACTGTGTGTACCTGAACAACTTCGAGAGAGAGTGGAGGAACTTGAGAACCTCAACGAGAAGCTTGAAGAGCTTCCGGAGAACTTACTGAAGTATCGTCCGGTAGCCGTTGATTTGGCTATGGGGGTTGTTCCTTTGCTGGTGGTTGAGCTGTTCTGTGCCCGTGACAGTGCGTTGTGTGCAGCGTGCAAGCGTGAGAGCGTTGCTTACATTGGCATCACTCAGGAAGAAGACTTCTTGAGTAAGAACACACAGTTGTTTTTAGGAGAAGTTCTGCTCTGTCTGTTGAAACGAAATCCGCCCAAGATCTATATCCATGTAGCGTCGCCGTGTACTGCAGGTTGTAGTTTTCGGTTTAAGAACTGGCACAAACCGAAGTTTCGCCATCGCTGGCGTGAGCAGATGAAGAAGCATGTTGCTTCGTGGAAAACGCTAGGAAAGTTGTTGCAGAACCACTGCCAGGACGTCCTGCTGACTCAGGAGTGGCCAAAGACCTGTGGACTTTGGAAGGAAGAAACGTACCAAAGAGTGAAGAAGTCCCTTGGCCTATCCTTTGGACGAGAAGTAGACCGATGTGCTTTTGATTTGGTCTATAAGAGATGGTGGTTTGCCTGCAACTGTTCGGAGTGGTGTGAAATCTTCTCCGGGAAATCTTGTGACAAGAATCATGTGCATGTTGCTCCTGAAAGTCTTGAGGCAACCGGTTACTACCCCACCAAGCTAGGTAGGGCTCTTTTGCGTGCTGCTAAGCGAGTCTTGAAAGTAGCCGTAGAAGGGACTACCGTGCGGACGTGTGCCGAGGATGACGAACAGAGCACTTAGCCTAAAGAGCTGTGCTTACACTGTTGCGCTGAGGCATTACAGTCCAAGCGGGGGTGTGAAAGTTCATGTTTTCCAGGAGGAGGTGGGCCGAGGGCCACAGGGTCCTGGGGGACCGGATGGGAGCGATGCCACTGCAGGTCATGGTTCGCTGCCAGAAGTGCGCCCTGTTGGCGGCACTCGGGGTGGCAATCCAAACTCAACCGGACTCGATGCTTTCCAACCTGTGTCAAACCGTGGCTCCGTTTTGGGAACGCTTTGCGTTCACACAGGAGATCTAGACCCAGAGGCTTTAGCAGGGATCGAGCTTTGGTCACATGAGGGCAGTGCTGGGACAAATCTGAGTGCCGTAAGCTCAGCGACCTTAAGCAGTGCACCATCAGTTTTGGGCACTTGGCCCGATGTGCGCCCTGTTGGCAGCACTCGGAAAGAGCCTGGTGAGTCAGGTCAACCTGTTGACTGGTGTCTTGCGTTGCATCTCCTCGAGAAGGCCGAGACCCAAGGCTACAAGTGTGTTGAAAGTGAGATTATAAAACTTGCTGAAGACATCCAAACCCACTTCAAAGAGCCCTCTTTGGAGTGGTGGGCAGGCTACGCCATGATGCAGTGTCTTGTTGATGAGTCCAACCCAGCATGGACCCAGGCAGCCATCAAACAATTGATCCCTGCCAGGGCCGGTCCGCGACCTCATCCGGTCACCCTTCTCAGCCTGAACATCACTACTTGGGGTCCGAAGTTTAAGGACTGGCTTGGGGGTAGAGGCTGCCCCTTTGACCTTTTGTGTGTCCAGGAAACACATCTTCGCAAAGATGTGCCCGCTGCTGCGGCCTGGCTAAATCCACGTGGCCTTGTTGGTCATTTTGGGCCAGGGCATAAAGGTGACACACCAGGGATCCGAGGAGGCCTTGTCACCATTGCGCCGGCGCACCGAAATGTCAGGCAAGCCCTTGACTATCAAAAGGAAGGCTGTGGTTTCTTGGTTGATTTCCTTAGGTTTAAAGATTGGACTTTGGCGGTGCTTAATCTTTACCTTAAATCGGGTTCTTCCCTTCAGACCGAACCGAATTGTTCAATTGTTGCAAATCTCCTGGCCTGTGTGAGAGACCTTGCTGTGCCGTGGATTGTGATGGGTGACTTCAACACTCCAATCACGGACCTTCAGGCAACCAACATTCCTACTGAGGCCAAGGGGTTGCTGCTCTCGCCAGGGGGCCCAACCACTGATGACGGTGCATGCCTTGATTATTCCCTCATCTGTCATCGTCTATCTGGCTGCATCGGTTGTACCATTGCCTGGGATGCACCTTTCAGGCCACATGGGCTACTCAAGTTCACTTTGGAGGCCGACTGTTCCTTGATTGTGCCGCAGCTCCCGAGCTATCGACAAATCACTTCAGCGCCTTGCCATTCTTTCGTGGAAGGTCCTCAGCTTGATTGCTTCCGGTGGGAAGGGTGTGCCAACCCTTCGCCAATCACGCTTTCCTTTGCTTCGTGGTCTCAGGCTGCTGCAGCTACCTGTGGAGTGACCCAGAAAGCGCCTGGCACATACTTTGCAATCATCCACCAAGCATTGAGCCCTCCCTCGCACCCGGATCGGGTGTGGCATGGGAAGTCAGCGTCCTTCTGGGATAGAGTTGCAGTTTGGGCCAACAAAAAGCCGAGCTATGCTTGTGGCATTCCAGAGTCTGTTATCAATTTGTTGAACGAATCTGAGGTTCACTGGGCCGTGCAGGCCCGAACAACTTGGGAGCAATGGAAAGATGAAACTTTGCAGATTTTGAGTGGTGCTATGCCAAGTCGGGAGTGGCAAAAAGTCACAGTAGCCCAACAAAAACTTGCCCGTGAAGCCCACGTTGCCACCAAAAGTGCTCACTATCTTGATTGGCTTCAATCTTCCTTGACTAAAGGAATGCGACCCTTGTTTCGAGCCCTTAGTAACCCAGATGCCCAAGTTGATAGGCCGTTTCGGGATGCAGGACTTGAGTTGAAGCCCTTCCTTAGGTTGGATTTCTGGGTTGAACTTTGGAAAGCCCAGCCCACGCCCTTGCCTGACTTGTCGCCCGAGCTCCATGAGCGTGCTCGGCAACATGCCAAATTCTTGCAGCCCGCCACCCTTGACTTAATACGTTCCCAGCTGCGCAAATTGGCAAACAAAGCGGGTGGTGCTGATGGTTGGAGCTATGCACAGCTCAAGCTGCTTCCTGATGAAGCGTTGGCGGCCCTGCTCTCCATCTTTCGCAGAGTTGAGTGCGAAGGAGTGTTGCCAGAGCACTGGCTCACGACCTTAATCACCATGTTGCCAAAAAATTCCCGGGTTGAACGACCTATAGCACTGTGCAATGCGACATACCGCCTCTGGGCCAAGTTGCGCTATCCTGAAGTTGAGTCCTGGGTGCTGTCGTTTCAGCAACAGGCCCCATGGGAACAAGCGGTTCCAGGCCAGTCAACGCTTGATGTGAGCATCACTCGTCTCCTTCAGGCTGAAATCTCGCGTGTCCGCAAGCGTTGTCGCATAGTGCTGTTTGTTGACTTGCAGACTTTTTACGAATCGGTGTCACATGAAGGAGTTGCACACCAAGCCATTTTACACAACTTTCCGGCGGTCTGCGTTGACACCGCCTTAAAAGTTTATAGGGGCGCTAGATACATTGTTTCTGAATCAGCTGTATCACCAGTGTGCTATGGTGCCTCTGGCTTGATGGCCGGGTGCCCTTTCGCTCCGGCACTAGCCAAGCTGGCCCTTTTCCCGAGTCTTTCGACCCTTCACGCTTCCAAGCTCAACGACAACATCACAGCATGGCTAGACGACATCAGTGTCGACACCGAAGGTGCCAATGCAGAGCAAACGGCGGTCAGGGCCCAGAAATCTTTTCAGCTTTTGAAAACCTCCTTGGAGCGGGATGGGTTAAAAATGTCGCTGAGTAAAACTTGTTTTGTTTGTACTGACTCCCGGTCAGAAAAAGCCCTTAAACGCTTGCTAGGCCCAAATGACCCTCCCATATCCTCGTTGGCCCGGGATCTTGGCACTGACTACTCCGGCGCCCGCAGACGCAGGATCACCATTGCCAAGCAAAGGGAGGCCAAAGGCAAGACCAGGTCAGGCCGTCTTCGCAAACTCCAGGTTCCTTCCCTTCGCATAAGTGGAGGGCTTTTAAAGGTGGGGTTTTTGCCACAACGGCGTGGGGCCATCAGGCCCAGGGCCTTGCCCCTAAAAGGTTGAAGTGGTTGAGGGCATGTGCGGCCCAGCAGCTCAATCGTCACAAGCTCGGCAGTTCCGATTTGTTGTTTGACTTCCATTGCAAACATGAGGATCCTCTCATCACCATTGTGACCCAACATTTCACAACAATTGCCAGGATCTTCCGCAGATGGCCGCAGTCTCTTTGGTCTCAGCTTCAGACTACTTGGGCAAGCTCGTGGGAGAGACTCCAGTCGGCAGTGTATCCCTGGCAGGTTGTGTCAGGCCCCATGGCAGCGGCCCAAGCCTACTTAATGCAACTCGACGTTGAATGCCGCTCCTTGGAGCAGTGGAATTTTGGGCAAACTGTTCTGCCGTGTCAATGGCGGGATGTTAGCTTCAAGGAGACCTTGCTAAGGCGTCTTCGTAGTCACCTCCAAGCGCAGCGCAATGCCAGGATTGCAAACATTCTTGAAATACCTGAATTACCGCAGGGTCTTGACTGGACCAGCCATCGCAAGCGCGTCACTCGGATGAAGAAGGCCAAAAAGCCAACGAAATGGCTTCTTGCGCTTTGGCAAGGAGCTGTGCTGTGCAGCTCAACAGGTGGTCAGGAGTTTTGCCCCTTGTGTGGCACCCCTGCGTCATGGAGGCATGTTTTGCTTGATTGTCATTACTGGCGTGCCCGACACCGTAGCATTCCGCCTCAGTGGGACGAGCTTCAACGTCAGTGGCCTGTTCCTGCACTGTGGGAAAGAGGCTTGCTACCCGCTAGTCTTACCCAGCAGTCGAGGCCTGACTTCACTCTCACTGATGTCAGAGAGGGTCTATGGGCCACCAATGACTCTCTGGATGCTCAGCAATTTGTTTTTAGTACTGATGCAACGGGTGGCCCTGAAAGTGCTGATGATCGACTTCGCATTGTGGCGTTTGCCGTCATTGCCTTTAAAAAGCAAGGTGATCAGCTTACTCAGGTTGCGTCCATAACGGGGTATCTCCCTGTGGGTGCCTCGGTTGCTGAAGGTGAAACGCAGGCACTGCAGGTTTTGCAAAACAACGTCGTTGGTGAAGCTGACGTCACTTGTGACTGTCAAGCTGCAATCAAACGAGCTCGCTCTTTTGGCACCAACTTGCACTGCCATTGGGTTAGGTCTCATTTGAGTTTGGAGGCGTTCCAAGCTGAGTTTGGCGTGCACAACACCTGGCGACATGAAGCCAATAATGCTGCTGACCAGCTTTGTGATAAGACTGCCCTTAAAATCTTTGACAGGAGCTTCTTAAGCAAAATCCAGTCCCTTGACGCTTTGGTACAGCAAATTTCCACTTTCCTTGCAGAGAGAGTTGAGATCCTGATCACTTCCAAAAAAGATCCACCCCCGCAGGTGTTCCAGGAAAAAAGGGTGTGTCGTAAGCAGAAACCTGGCTCTGCTTCACAGCCGTTTGTGAAACCACGCCGGGCAGCAGAACAAGCCTTGTCAGCGTCAGCCACTCGCCCTGCACCCAGCCTTAACAAAAAGCAAAGGTTGCGCCAACTGCTAGAGGACCCCAGCCTGCAGCTGGGTCACGAATGGCAAACGACTGGCGCTAAGGCTGAGAACAATTTTGCTGTCCAATGCCAACGATGCCAATTGTACATTGAGCAGTGCAATGCGCCTGACATTTTCAACCGCAAAATTAATCACCCATGCAAGGACATTCCCGCTGCTTTGCCAGACAGTTGGGAAATCCACTCTTCGCACTCCATGGTGAACAAAGGTGCCTTTTTCGCCTGCTCTAAGTGTCTGGCAACAGCAAAGTTGGCAGCTAAGGCAGCAACTAAGTTGCTTTCGGCCCCCTGCAAGGGTTTAGCACGCAAGGCAGGTAAGAACCTCATAAAAACTAACGTGCATGAACAAGTCAGTGCTGCGCAACATGTACCTATCGCCTCGCTGTTTCAGCCCCAAGTTGAGGGCACACCAGTTGCGGAGGTGAGTGTGCAACAAGACCCAAATGTGGGTGACCGACCAGGAAAGGAGGCAAAAGCAAAGGCCACCAAACCTTTGTCTAAGGGTTCCAAGCCTAAGTCTAAGTCCAAACCTTCCCCACCTGGAGAGGACCCTAAGCAAACTAAGTTGTGTTTTGGAAAACTCTGAGCCTTGAAGCCCGGTGAGCGCCCTGTAGGCAGCTCCCTCCTAGCTTTGCCCGGTGAGCGCTGTGCTTGCAGCTCCCGGAAAAATGGAAAGTGAGTTTTCTTGAGCACGATTTAGTAATGCCACTGGCTGTCAAGACAAACCATGTGACCCAATAAGTCAGTGACCTGGACCTTATGACACTTCAAGCCCTGACCCTCTTGGTGCCTGCCTGTCTGCACTGGTGTCGACAGAGGTCTGCTGCCTTAGCGTGTGAGGTGCTCACACCAGTACTCACTGACCCTTATAATGCTCATGATCCTTAGTGGTGAGGACATTTGCGTGCTCTCACCACGAAGGAAGCTGCTGCCGCTGTGTACAGGCTGCCGGTAGTTTTGTGTACAGTTCTTCAAGTGCAACACACAAGAGTCTGAGTCGTGACTCCTTTGCTCACCAACTGTGCTGGTCAGACGGCTGCTGTAAGTTGTGGGCTGCTGCCCAACGGCTTTCACCAGTTACAGCAGGGACTCTTGCAAACGCAGCGCCACGGTGCTCCCACTTCTTCGGCTTGGAGCCGGCTTGCTATATAATGCTCATGATCCCGAGTGGTGAGGGCATCCGCGTGTTCTCACCACGAGGGGGCTGCTGTCGCTGTGTACAGTCTGCTGGTAGTCTCCTAGCTCAGTGTAGTTGCTGACGAGTGAACGTACTGTTGTACTTTGTTGCTTACTCCTACTTGGAAAGAGGCGAAGGGCTTGCGCTCTCAGGCTTGCTTGAAGCTCCCTGGGAAGTAACCTCTTTCGTCCTCTGTGCTAGGTCCAGTGGCCAAGCGTGCTGCTGTTAGATCTGCGCTCTGCTAACGTTTCAGGCCTCTGGCCGCGACTTGCTGTCCGCAAAGTGAGAAAGTTCATGTTTAAGACATGTTACTTTGGTTGTCCTGCATGCCTGCTCAGGTGTGAGTCGTTTTAGCTGAAAGTTTTGCCTTGGAGGCTTGACTGACGAGCTTGCTTTCAGTGGAAAGCCTTTTGAAGTGCTTGAGAGTGTAGGGAAGTGTTTTTCCTTGGTGTAACCGTTTGGAGTGACTGTGTAGCTGTAGTTCTGCTTGCGCTAGTTTTGAGTAGGTCCCGAGAACTCCCACTGACGTTTGAGTTTGTTTTGCAGTTGTGGAGAACACGTGGCTGAGCAGTGTTTCACTTGCAGTGCTATGGCACATGGAATATCTGTGGCCAGTTGCACAGACAAAGCCTCCGGCTGCTGACTTTGGCTCAAGCCGTGAGAAAAAGAGGGTTCAGCGCGCTGCTGCTGTGTTTTCACAGATGTCGACTGCACCTGTAGTGCCAGCGCAAACTGTAGTGGTGAAGAGGTCCACAAATGCCCCCAATTCATTGTGATGGTCATAGAAGAAGGAGAAGAGGGATGCAGCCTGCGCCTCCGTGCTAAGGTGTCCCGGCGGGGGGAGCTCTGGCAGCCAATCCGAGATAAACTCCGCGAGGGATGTATCTTCGGCCACCACTCGGTGCGCGTTACCCGTGTCCGCGTTGGCGGGGCGAGCATTGCTGAGGCCAAGACCATGCTTGAGGGCGTCAAAAACCCGGGTGGTGTGGCTTGGTGTTGACTGTGTCAGAGGCGATGGCATAGAGAGAGATAGAATGCTCCTAGCACGGCAATGACTGTCGACTCCGCAGCACCGACTTGGCTCCGGCACACGGTCGCGGCAGCACGCGGTCCACGAGCCCATGATCATCGCCTCTCTCATTGGTGGGGCATTCCCGCTGCACTCTGTCCTTATCACACCTACGTCCAAAAGCTTGGGATACTCAGCCCCACGTGAGAGATGGTCTGTGAACCGTGTCCCCTTGCTTTGTAAGGCTACAGCCGTTGCAGCGCACAGTGGCATAGATGGCTACCCGGTTCAGCTCCTTCTTCGGAGTGTGGAGCACAGTGGACAGCATCCAGACAGACCAGGACGCACTACAGAGAAAAAGTTTTGGAAGATTCCGCACAGCTTAAGATGCTGAGCGAGCTGCGACCTTGTGCCCGGGCGGCCAGAATGGCCGTGATGTGCCCACTCAGAAGGCCATCCGGCTGTTTAGCAAATTATCAATGTGGCGGCAAAAAGATTATCCCATCAGAGCGGCCAGCGTGTGACTCGGCTGGGATCAGCGTTGCCGGCAGGCGCCAGTTTTTGCAGAACGGCTTCCGATTCCGTAACCCCTTTGGCTCAAGGCGTCTCCGCTCAAGAACTCCAAAAGGGATTTCTGTTGAGACTTCGTAGGGTGGGAGTTCGTAACTAGTAGCCTTGTTGCTAGTTAGTTGGCTCTCTCGCTGTGGAGAGTTTAGGGGAAGGCTCGGGAAGGCTCACAGTGTAGGACGTGAAGACCCACTTCCAAGAAGGTAGGCTGCACCATTGCTGTGGAAAGCGTGCGTTGGCAACGGAATCTCTCAAGAGTGCCGTTGTCCAATTGTGTGGAAAGGCCCCAATCAGCAAGTTTGGTGCGAAGTTTGCCCACTAAGGCCCAGGTGTGGTAGGTGTCCCTCTGATATACGTCAGTCGGCTTTTTGTTGACCGTTGATAGGGCCTGCTGTACATGCCCATAAAGACCCGCTCAGTGCGTCCTTATCGGACGATTGCATTCAGGAAAGCCTGGTGAAACAAGAGTGGTGACCCTCAGCAAGTCAGATTTTGTAGTCACTAAGAGTCCTCCTTGCCACACCGTGTGTCCCTCTGACATACGTCAGTCGGCTTTTCAGGCCTCAGTCGTCTGAGGAAGTGCTTTGCATCACGCCACCGCTGCAGTTATCATTGTGTCCTTCTGACATACGTCAGTAGGCTTTTTGTTTCTGAAGCACTGGA